TGCCCACATGTGACGTCATGTAGATGATATTATCTTTGCTTCAAGATAGTTGTCTGAAGCCGTGTCTATAAGTATATATGGTCTAAGCGTAAAACGGAACGCAGCCATTGTTGTATTTATTTATTACGTGAAGCGCGTGAAGCTTACACAATGAAACACAATCACTAATAAAATATTATGCGAGTATATCGTTCTATGAGCTCTCTAACAAAAAACATTATTTTTTCTTTTATTTAATGCTCTTCTAAACACATAAGAAATATATATTTAATATTAGGTCTACCGGAAAGTTCTGTCCGTTTTTGGAATAAAACAAAATACAAATTTTTCTTAATTTTTCAAAAATGGGATATACGAATTGTCCTGTGTTATCCACGCTGGCAAGAAATCATTAATAATAATGGCAATTATATTATTTAATAAAGTTTATTGACGGTAAGAAAAATTTGTATTTTGTTTTATTCCAAAAACGGACAGAACTTTCCGATAGATCTAATAGTTATATTTATTTTATCAACATGTTTAAAAGCACAGGACAATAATTTTATATACAACTTATTAATAAAAAGAAAAAATTAATTCTTAATTTAAAAAAGTTGAAACTACGCGATTATTGCTCGCTGTTAACTGACGAAAAATTTCATCATTGTTTGAAAAATATATTATCATGCTTTGTCGCAACAGACAGATTGGATCTCTCTTCACGGCTGCGTTTGTTATCGCGCAATATGTTTATTACACGGTAAGCTACCGAATCGCTTTAGTTATCCACCTGACACACCGAATATACAGCTTCTATATATTCTCTCATTAGCATCACTGCTTCTTACACAACACCCGCCGCGATCGTACGTACATGTGATACGAGTTCACGCGGACCGATATTTTTTAGTAAAAAAGCGAAGTCGAAAGACGCCAGATCATATGTCGCAGTATTTGACGTAAAATTGCATTTAATGTTGTTTGCAAACAAACAGTGTATTAATTTTTAATAACCTTGCTGTACCAAATCTAAATATTCACGATATATATACGAACGCTTTTAACACGGCAAGAATGACAACTCGACAAGTTTTTCTGTGAGTATCTGTTGAAATTTTTATGTCAATTATGTCAAGTAACACACGACGAGAGTGAGTCAATTTAAAATTTAGAGATGACCTTCTGACATGTAAAAAAATGTTAAAATTAACATTTTACTTTTTACTTGTGTGACATTCGTCGACGAAAGAATCAATCTGTATTCGAGAACGTTAGCGATCGCTTTAGAGATGCGTAGAAGAAAAGAAAGAGTTTCGGGCAAATTCGGGTAATTTCGTCATCTCCATTGTCACGATCTCAACTCCGTATAGATGTAAATTAAGCAACAAAGCAACTTCGCACTTCTTGACAACAGCGCGCGCATTTGACAAAAAACATTTTTTTATTTTATTTTTGCAATAGTATATATAAAGTGTTTCTACGTATAGTTTCGCACACACATCATTCTACGTATAGTTTCGCGCGACAACGAAAAATTCCAAAATAATCCGCTTTCAATCGAGTGAACAGAAATGAGAAACCAATCAATTGCTGTTGTATACTTGTAAGTATCGCGCGTTGTGAAAAAAAAAAAACAATTTGAAAAAAGTTGCACTTGATAGTTGCAACCGGCACTATCGTTTCTCGTGAGCAAATTGTTCACGCGAAAAGCAATCATTATTAGCTTAAAAGAGATAACTGTAACAATATTTGCACGATATTTAACGCGGCAAATACGTTGACAGTCAAAAGTAAGCGCGAAAAGATATTCGCACCGCGTGATTTCTTCGTGTTTAGTACTAACGTTGATTGTAAACGTGAAATCGGAAATTTTCAAAAATAAAAAATTAATCAACGATATGTAATGAATATATATACTTCGTGAAATATTGTCATAAAATACTTCGAAGAGGGCTGGTAATTTCTGAAATGATCCAAATCAAGTTGCAAACGAACGCTATAAATATTATGTCGAATACAGAGAAACTAAAAAACCATATTTCTCATTTCTTGAATTATACAAATCTAAATGATCGTTCACCTTTAACCCATTTGCATCACAAAGAAAAGTCAAAAATTCGTTCTTATCACCAAAATTTGAGAGAGAGAGAGAGAGAGAGAGGGAGAGAGAGCTGTCTAAGAGCGTAGAAGGGAAATAAAGTGCGTGAGGGGCCCCACCGCTGGACAGGCCTGGTATAAATAATATGCGCTTTGGTGATAAATGCCTAAGTAAAATGCGCGCATATATGCGCTTATGATGCAAATGGGTTAAAGACTCGACAAACATATTGTTGTCAGTGTGGTGGGATAAAGTATTTATATTCAAACTTTGTAAAGACTGCACATCAGTCGTTTGTTATTCTTGTGTACTGGTCTTATCAAACATGACACACAACGGAAAGACAAGTTGGTTTTTTATCAAAACGATAATTTCAAATTTTGATGTATCTCCCTCATCACAACCTGATGTACAGTCTGCCTTTTTTAAATAGTTTTCTACATTATATTAACCCATTGCTCATTTGCTGTTTTTTGTAAACCACTTTGTGTTAATTTGTTTTATATAGATTTTGTTTTGCCACTGAAGATGACTCAAACTGAGAGTCGAAACGTTTTTGGCATTTATAAATAAAGAATTTTTTCGGTTCATACGTTAACATCTTGTACTTTACTTCGTGCCAGCCATCTCTTCAAAGTATTTTAAGAAAATTAATCATTCGCGACACATAGTGATTTGAATAAAATGTTGGTGCAATTATTTGAAAAAGAGAGAGAGAGAAGAGAGTGACGGAAACGTGAAAAACAAATTTGAGACACAGCGAACGTAAATTACCGTTTGATGCTGAAAGCATTAGTGAAACAAAAAAGTGATCGTGTTATCGCGTCTTGTTCAACAAAGAGCTGCCGAGTAGTAAAAATGTCTAAATCTTTCTCGCTTACTTACTTTCACGTCATGTGTCTCTTCGAATGTGCGTGTTACATAATCGATCTTTAAGATGCTATTTTTTCTCGTCAAACAAAGCATAAATCTCATAAATCACTTTGCGCAATTACACACACCAGATGTTCAAATATAATAAGTCATAATCGCAATTTAACTTTTCATTGCGAAACATGCCATTGCAATGACTGTGCGATTGTTAATTAGTTTTTTTTAAAAACTTTTGATGAATAACAGATACACATACGTACGCGCGTACGCACGTAAATGTTCGCGCATCACATACGTAAGTAATGAAATCGTATTGTTTCAACAGAATTGTACTATTTTGCGTACACGTGTACTTCTCGCACGGTTTTACGAACGACGACGACGACGTTTGTTACTCGCGCAAGCACCGCGACTGCGACTTTGACAAAAATTACAAGCGTCTTGTTTGTTTCGAGGATATTAAAAACGAATGGAAAGCAAAGTAAGTGGTGGATGTCAAGTTTAGAATATATAATATAAAATCGATATCGAAGATAATTTATGTTATTCTTTGAACACGAAAGTTTTAATTGTCTTAACTTTGTTATTTTAATTTGACAAGTCGTTTGTTTGCGACAAACAAAATGATATGCAAATTTTAGGGCCAAAGATGCAGATGTGCTCATTGTTTGCGAGTGGCAGAGAGCAGTGTTCAATCCGCAAGAAGTTTTGCGAGGATTCACGTCTTTGCGAGAACTAGCGATCGCGAAAAGCGCGAATTTAATACGAATGCCAACCGCTTTTCCGACCGAGATGGAACATCTCGAGGTAGAGACAATGCCTTGGCGAGCGCATTAATTGTTCGAGCTTTATCAGAATCGCTTATTTGAATTTTCATGAACAATGCGCGCGATAACGACAACTAAGTACCTTTACAGAAATCTGGTACGGCCAAAATGATAATTATTTCGAGCATTTTAAATCACCGTTGAGTGCGGCGCTTTTATTATTCAAAATAAGTATTATATTTTTCACGCCAGTAAATAAATTTCCGTATTAAGAATAACGCGCTTTTTCACCGTTTCCTTATCGTCAAAAAATACAGAATAAATGTTTCACTGGAATAGAAAAAAAGACATTGATCATGAAAATTTGCGTTTTACGCCAAGACCAATTTTACGCGCGTTTCAATAATAAATATTTAAACAATTATGACTTAAGGCTCGTTGAAATTAAAACCAAGAAATATACAAGGCCTTACGAGCCGTTTTCAGGATGTTGTTTCCAAGAGCGGAAACTGTACGTGTATATATATATATATATATATATATATATATATATATACACATGTAACGAATTCAACTTGTAAATTTTTACAAGTGAGTATTTTTTGAATTGAATTTTTCTTAAATTCATACAGGATGCCGGATTTGCATCTCACGTACGAGAGACCCCGGGGTGAGTTTGTTTTTTTCGCAACATTTTAAAATTAGTTAGGGGGGTATCCGGGGTCTCTCTCATATGTGAGATGCAAATCCAGCATCCCGTATGAATTTAAGAATTGAGATTTCAATTAAAAAAATACTCACTCGTAAAAATTTACAAGTTGAATTCGTTACATGTGTATATATACACCGAAAAAATTTATATTCTTGTAAGTAGAAGATTTTCTACTTAAAAAATCTTCTTAAAGATTTTAGATGATATTCATCTGAAATTAAGAATATATTCTTTATTTAAGAATATATTCTTAATTTAAGAATATAGTCTTTTTTGATAGTGAGATATATATATATGTTTTTCTATAGAGGCTTTTTATATTCTAATCAGTATATATTCTTATCAATATTACACACAGAAAAACATACTGTATCCAAGTATATAATAAGTTTATATATCCGCAAATATATTATAAGATCTTTGTAAGTATTTAATTTACTCAAAATACACTCTAAATCTTAGTAAATTTGTATTTTGAGTAAATTAAATACTTACGAAAATCTTATAATATATTTGCGGATATATAAACTTATTATATACTTGATACAGTATGCATTTTTCTGTGTGTACTATTTAGAGGATTTTCCTCTTAAAATAAGAAACTCTTCTTAGCGCCTATTTTAGTATAAAATATACTTAAAGTAAGTGGGATATTCTCAAAACAAGAATACAATTTTTTCGGTGTATATATACACGTACAGTTTCCGCTCAACATCCTGGAAACGGCTCGTAAGGCCTTACATATTTCTTGGTTTTAATAAATATTTAAGTTTGTTGAGAGATGTTTGTGTCAAAATAGAACATCACTGTGACCGACACCAAATTGCGTACAATTCGTAAAGATGCGTTTTCCAATCTGCCGTGTTTGAAATGTCTCGATTTGAGAAACAACGACGTGGAAGAGATCGACGTTACGGCCGTCAACGAAAATGTGTTGGAGCGACTGTATCTTTCTGGTAAGGAAAAAAAAGTGACAAACTGCTTGTTTGAAGCTACATTTTTTTTTTGTGTCGATTAACGTGCGTGTCGTGGATAATGAATGAGGACTCAGGTAATCCATTGAGATGTACGGAGGATACGGCGTGGATTTTGAACTCCAGTGAGGGATCAGTCGCGAGCAAAGTCGTCGACAAAGACAAATTACTTTGCGCCGCGCCGTTTGATCGAAGACCGCTTGTCCCGGTTGTCGAGATAATCGCGGTAATGTGAAAACACACACTCATTCCTCAAGTAATTAATGATTAAGTAAGATGATGAGAAAATAAACGCTAAGAAAACAGTGTTCCGTATTGAATTTCAGTTCAGTCGCGGTCGGGACTGAAACACATCTGATTTCCAGACGCTGAAGGAAGAATGCAAACGAACAGTCTGCGACTGCGAACTGATTTACGTGATCAACGCGGGCGAGCTCACGGATAAACAATTAATTTTTAATTCCATCAATTGCAGCCGTCGCGGTTTAACCGAAATGCCCAATTTTTTACCGGCGAATACAACCACTCTTCGTTTAACTGGAAATCAGGTTTTCTTTCATACATCTCTTTCGCATTGAAAAAGAAAAAAAACAAAGAATTTTTCAATTATCGTATGTTGAAGTACGTGCGTACACCGAAAAAATGGTATTCTTGTTTTGAGNAGAGATATCCCACTTACTTTAAGTATATTTTGTACTAAAATAGGCGCCAAGAAGAGTTTCTTATTTTAAGAGAAAAATCATCTAAATAGTAATATTGATAAGAATATATACTGATTAGAATATAAAAAGCCTCTATAGAAAAACATACACCGAAAAAATTGTATTCTTGTAAGTAGAAGATTTGATACTTAAAAAATCTTCTTAAAGATTTTAGATGATATTCTTCTGAAATTAAGAATATATTCTTTATTTAAGAATATATTCTTAATTTAAGAATATAGTCTTTTTTGATAGTGAGATATATATGTTTTTCTATAGAGGCTTTTTATGTTCTAATCAGTATATATTCTTATCAATATTACTATATATTTAGAGGATTTTCCTCTTAAAATAAGAAACTCTTCTTGGTGCCTATTTTAGTATAAAATATACTTAAAGTAAGTGGGATATCCTCAAAACAAGAATACAATTTTTTCGGTGTATATATCTTACTATCGAAAAAGACTATATTCTTAAATAAAGAATATATTCTTAAATAAAGAATATATTCTTAATTTCGGAAGAATATCATCTAAAATCTTTAAGAAGATTTTTTAAGTATAAAATCTTCTACTTACGAGAATATAATTTTTTCGGTGTACAAATTGCGAAAACACGTTGCAGTCTGATCTTCTTTTCACGTTGCAGATTAAGGACTTGACTCCACTGACAACAAATCCCGTCTACAAGTCGGTACTGGATCTTTATTTGGACGACAATCTGATAGAATCTATCGTTCAGTTAGAAGGATCGTACTGGCTGGACAACTTCCGGCTTCTTAATCTTCGAGGGAACAGACTTACCGATGTAAGTATATCGAAATTATCAGACAAAAAAAAAAAAAAATGAAAAATCTGTTTTGTACGTTGAAGGATCGATCCCGGCAAACACAAAGTAACAGTAATGTAACATTAATGTTATAATTTCCCACTCAACAATGTATCTGCTACGTACAAGGCATGTTACATTGCAGTTACATTGTTGAGTGGGAAATTATAACATTAATGTTACATTACTGTTACTTTGTGTTTGCTGGGATTGAATCGTTCGACAGAGTAGAAACTAGATATGATAGACTAGGTCAAGTAGATGCAAGGCGATTTAAAGAGAATTAAACAGCGCGCGTTTCGCATTTGCATTCATCATTATTTAATAAGCAACACGTGAGAGATTATAGTTTATGATTTTTCGTTCTGCTTCGTTCCACAGTTGCCTACTTACACTTTGGAAAATGCACTGCTGTACAACAAAGGTGTAGCTGGTCTGTTTCTCGGTAATAATTCGTGGACGTGCGACTGTCATTTCACACCGAGCTTTCAAGTACGGTAAAAAAAAAAGAAGTAGCAGAAGTTCTCATTTTTTCTGTCGTACGAATTTCTTCAAATCAATTTGAGATTAGCGATTGATCGTTTCGAGAAAAGAGTTGAAAGAAAAAAAGATGTTAATTTACGTTCTTGTAGGATCTTCTGAACAGACATCTAGATCTGATAAAAGACGCCAAGGACATAAGATGTGCCGTCTCCGCGAACGACAATAACTCGAAAAGACAGGTGAATATTTAATTGTTGAATGAAAAAAATTTATTTAATTAAATTGAATCGTGATTAACGGGCTCTCGAACTAGTTGCAAGGTGTTATGCATTAAATTCTAATGAACTATGAATCCAAACGTTTCGACTTTTTATTATTTAGTCATCATCAGTGGATTGTAATCTATGTTCAACATTTCTTTGTTCTGACGATAATTGAAGACAACATGCAACTCGATAACCTGTGTGTTGTTTGTATTCATACTTCATTAGAATTTAATGCATAACACCTTGCAACTGGTTCGAGAGCCCGTTAATCACGATTCAATTTGATTTATCACGAACCTGAGGACACCTCATCACACATCTAATTATTTATTTAATTAAAATTTATTTTTTTAGACAAAGAGTCTCACAAAAACTTGAATATTTTAAACTTTTTTTAAGATATATTATATCTCTCACATCTTTGTTTCTTCTTTCATCAAGTTACAATACAGTTTAGATTCGAATGCGAATTTTAATTTATTTATTATTAAATATGGTATTCAGATTCGCGATCTGAGACGGACGGAAATTTGCATTCCCAGCGAGGATTCTTGGTTCCATTTTCTCGACGTGGTGAACATCATATTAGCATCGTTGATATTTCTATTGTTTGGCAATTTTTTGTACGATTACTGGATATATAAGACAACCGGAAGACTACCTTGGATCGCCACCAAAATATGTTAGCAACGTAAAACTCTGCTTCTTATCTTTCAAAAAGAATCAAATTATATGTTCACTCGGTTAAAAATTTGAAGTGAATGAAATGAAAAATCTAAGTTTCTTGCGTTAAAAATAGATATTGCAAGATATTTTAAATTAAAAACAAACAAAGAACTCCGAGATGGTTATATTTGCGGGTAAAAAACTGGGCATTTTGATTAGACCGCGACGGGTGCAATTGATGGAATTAAAATTTTAAAAATTGTGATATTTGATGCTTTCGCGGTGTGTAGTATTAACATACAAAGATGTTTTTTCGGGTTTGAACCGCGTTAGTGTCATTTTTATACCGACGTTTCGTGAACATTACAGCTCACTTCATCAGGGTTTAAACCCGAAAAAACATCTTTGTATTTTAAAAATTGTCTCTCTGTAAGCTCGCCCGTATCGATCACGTAAGTTAGTTCGCAATCGCAGATTCATTCGTTTGCATTCCTCGTTCAGCGTTTGGAAATCAGAGATTGTGTTTCAGTTCCGACCGCGACGAAGACTATATCAAAATATTGTTTTTATAAAAAACATTTTTCCAACGCAAAATTCTTACCCGAGTGAACATGTATTAATAGAAACAATTTTGTTATGACAATATTTTGTATAATAATATTTTTGACATAATAATATTTTGTGTGCTGTGTTTTAATTCAACATGATAAAAGCCTGAATTTAATTAATCTCTTCGAAGATTTTACACACATGAAATTTTTCAAGAGACAACTATAAAATACAAATTAACATATATATATATAATTAAATTTCAAAGCAATTAGAAAAGATATTAAATTATTATTTTCGTGATTGCGATATATGAGATGATATTTTTTTTAAGTATTTATTTGTTGTTCCGTTTTCTGCGTATATTTCTGAAACAAATTTTCTGCAGCTGCAATCTTGGCGTTATCTTTCCTCTTTCCTTGACCTAAAAAGAAAAAAAATTAGAATATGTAAAATCCATATTATATACAGGTATCAGACTACCGTTTGATGCTAACGTATAATAGAAAAGAAGATATAACGAGAAAATGTGTGCAAAATTCGTACCGATTCCGACGAGACCTAAAGCCTTACATTGTGCTTCGTACACGTTTCCCTGATTCGTGATCTTATTGTGAATAGAATATTCCGGAGTGACTACTCCTTTTTCAAGACAAATCTTGTAAAGCTTTTGCGACGCGTTCTTCAACTTGTCTTTGTTAAACTCGGTTATCTCTAGCATTCTAATGTCGAAAATAAAAAGGATTGGAAAATAAATCAAGTAGTTTAAGCGCAACTTTTAGCTGAATATATTCACAAGATATGAAACAATATTTTTGTTTTATTGCTTCTCGATCGTGATTTAATAAAAATTTCTCACATATCTTTACCACGTCACAAATTCGCTTTTCTTACCGAGTTGTTATAACGAACGCGCTTTATACGTTATCAAAATTCGTATCCTAATTTATGGCAGGCGTTACATTTGTTGAACTTACTCCTCTCTCGAGAAATCCGATAATCCGCAGACGGACGACGAAAGTTTCGAGCCATTCATCTGGCGCTCGGCTACCAGCCACAATATTTTTGCCGCCAATTCGTTTTTAGCCAGATCCTGGGTATCGGCACAAGACATTGCTGGCACATTATCCAAACTACGTTTAACAACGTGTAAAAAAAGCACTTGCAACATTTTAGACGTCAAACTTGCATGAACAACAAAAAGAGAAGAAGTTATCGAAGTGATCGTTTACACAAAAAAAAAAAGAAAAAGAAAAAGAAAAAAGTCGCGACAGCAAGTGAAGGATGTGTACAGCAAGCGAGATCTTCAAGTATATCCTTCTATCGAGGATATACTTGAAGATTGAAAAATATTGATTAACACGCGTGTGACACGGCAAACAAAAAACATTATCTTCTACGTGATTTTTGTGTTTGTGCAAGACATAAAAGCATTACCGCGAAATCCGCACAGGTCGCCGTTTATCACATACAGATTCGGTTTCGGTTTGTTCTCGTATTTGATCGGCACTTGGCATCGTTTCGCGTATTCTTCAAGAACGGTCAACGGCGAACGACGACGACTCGTCGTCACGAAATTTCGCCCGACTTTCGCATCCTGCAATATCTCAACGAAAAACAAATGTTTCAACAGATTAAAAATTTTAACCCTCAACGGACGGCGTGATGTTTTTCACGGCACCTTAATTCGCCGGACATGGGTCGTTTTCGTCTTGAGTTTTTTAACACTAGATATACCAGCTATTTAAATATACCTACACCGAAAAAATTATACACCGAAAAAATTGTATTCTTGTTTTGAGGATATCCCACTTACTTTAAGTATATTTTATACTAAAATAGGCGCCAAGAAGAGTTTCTTATTTTAAGAGGAAAATCCTCTAAATAGTAATATTGATAAGAATATA